TATAAGTGTCAGATAAATGCTTCACATACTTAACCAACTTACATCTTTCCATGACCATTCAATATTGATATCCACATTTCAATCCATTTCCATTATTCATTTTAAATCAATTCATGAGTCTAGTTCATTGTTCTCTAAACAACCCAAATGAGACTATAACTTATTGGTTCACAATTCAATGACATTCATTATTCAAACACTTCAACTTTGTCATTTTATGAAATTTTCATCCGAGGGAATCGGCACCCATATATACACAAGATTTCAGGACTTTCACCCTGGACACTCTGGCCAACTTAATTTTAAATGGAGTTCATCCCCTATCTCCTCCCAAACAATGGAGTACATCCTCTATCTCCTTCAAAACAATGATACATATACAATGTATTAAAAGTATCATCATATACAATGACTATCCACAATACATATTCAATGTTTCAATTGTACCGTCATATTCAATGACATAATTTAAATGATTAGTTTCAATTCACCTAATTCTCATGCAATTTCTACAACAATCATGTTATCCTCCACCGATAGTCCAAAATAAATATTTATCGACAGATATACAATCTATATAGCAGATAATTTATCAAATTTCCATACGTGAGTGATTTAACAAATCCAACTGCGCCATTTATTCATACATCCTCCCAATTTTACATATTTCATAACAATTCCGTTATTTATACAAAATAATCATTCAACACAAGTTAGGGAAAATTTCTCCATTTTTTCAAATATCAATCCAAAGGCTAAATGTCACCATATTTAAAGCCCCATATCCATAAATCACAAGAGAGCCTCATATTCAAAGCCTCATATTCATTTTGTAACCCAACATAGGAAACTCTTATTTTTAATTGAGCCCAAACCCTAATTTACCCAAAATCACTCCAAAATCTCATCATTTATACATAACAACAAATATCTAGGTTAAAAACTATATGAAGGTGTAGAATATCCCTACCTCAAGAGTAGAAGCCCAAAGGAGAAAAGAAAGAACTTCAAAAATGCACAAACTCGTCTTTACTCGGATCAAAAGGAAGCCCTTGAGATGCTCAAACTCTTTATCAAAGGGAGTAGGGTAGAGAGACCCTTAGATCTAGGTGTATTTGTAGAGAGAGTGTGTATTTTAGAGAGAGAATGAGCTGATTTAGGGTTTTGGGTTGAAAAGATACAAAAATTCTGTGTAAAAATGAGCTGCTGCGAACTGATATACGCGAGACTCGCTCGAGCGAAAGAGTTGTCGCTCTAGACCAAACACAAAAAATGACCTCATTCGAGTGCAAGAAGCGTCGCTCGAGCGCAGAATACATACCTTCAGAAGTTTTACAGACGCTCACCCTCGCTCGAGCACAAAAAAGCCTCGCTTGAGCGAAGAACTTCACATTTCCAAAAATTCTGCGACTAGGAAAAAAAATACCGAGAACTCTCAAATCTCGCTTGAGTGAAGAAGCAAATTTCACAAGGCTCGCTCAAGCGCAAGGAGCCTCGCTCAAACGAAGAAGCAATTTTCTAGACAACAGTAACTGGAACAACTAGCAACTAACTTGCTCCGAACATGCCTAAGACATTTCAATACTCAAACCCAAAGAAAAATGAGAGAAAACAAGACATGGATAACAATATTAAACCATGAAACCCGAGTCCGGAATATAACAAAGGTCGGGTCAAAACTGGGATCGCTATACACCCCAATTCCATTTTTATATGGTAAAATTAACACTTAGAGGGTTCGGTTGGCAATGACTTTTTTAGTTGGTTTTTTGTTTTTTTTGACTTTTTTAGTCTGGGACTTTTTTGTTTGTTTGGTTGGTTTTCTTGTTTGGGTTTTTTTGGCTTTTTGCATTGGAAATGATATTCTCAAAGTGAAATGACAAAATTGCCCTCTGCTTGGAAATGATGTTTTTTTGACTTTTTGTTTGCGTATGGGTTAGTTTGGTAATTTTGCATCCCAACTCAAGTGTTTTGGTATTTTATGATTTTGTAGTTTTTTTAGTCCATATGTGATTATTTAGCTCCACGACAAATGCCAAACCGGGGTTTAATCTCAACCACATATTAGTTTTCTAAATCAATTCATCACCCAAACTATCTACTATTCTTTTAATATTCACTTTTTCAAAATCAACCCAAATAATGCTCTGGCCGAGCTCATCATTACCCTTGTTGTTGCCATGCTCACCACCTTCACTAACCATTATGCAACTTCGGTCTAGTTTTTTATCTTTATAAATATAAAAAGACAATGTTGTGAAAATAAAAAGATCACGTTAGAGTTTTAAAGAGTTAAAAATGAAAAATAAAAAAAATGCGTGATTTTAGGTTTTCTTATTCCATATATGGGTGTTAATTTTTTTTTTAATCCATAAATTATGAAATAGTGTACATTATTTAAAATTTTATTCACTGATGGGCAAGTCAATTAAATGTTTTTAATTTTTTACAAATAAGAAATTTGAAAATTTTGTGTAAGAAATTAAAAAAATGGCCAAATCATAAAGAACAATATAAGACCCCCAATTCTAAAAAAAAAAAAAAAAAAAAAAACAAAAAATAACAACCACCACTATTCGTGATAATCAAACACAACTATAAATCATTAACCAAACATTCCTAATGTTATTTTGGTTAATAAATTTGGTTGCAGATTTAGCAAATCAAAGGGAAAAAGTGTGTAAAATGCGAATAAAATATAGTTACATTTTATCTACATTTCACACAACTTTTCCTTTTTCTTTTCAAATCCTTCCTAAAATTTATCAACCGAATTAAAAAAAAAAAAAAAAAAAACACAAACAAACAAATTTGAAATAAGTTTGGACTATTGACAAAGAGAGAGAATAACCATTGCATCATTGCATTTGGGGAAGAGTTGGCTTGGTTAGAAAAAAGATCAAATATTGAGTATTTTAAAGAGAGAATTGTATTGAATTTTTAATTTGATTGGTTTTTTAAAATTTTAGATTTATATTATTTTCGAAAAAGGTGAGTGAGATGAAGGTGGCTTACCATATTATTTTGAATTTTGAAATTCAAAATCATAGATAATTGGTGTCTTTTTTTCCTTTTTTTTTTTTAATTTGAATTGTTTTGATCAACATTATTTTTTGAAAGGTGAGGGTGACTTATCATATTGTTTTGAATTTTAAAATTCAAAATTGTAGATAATTAGAACTTTTTTTTGTTTTTGTATTTTTGACTTAAGGAACTTACCAATAGATTATTTTTTTTTTAAATTTCTTTAAATATTAACAACTTAACAAAATTAGTTTGAGAGTTTAGAACTTCCACAATCATTATTATTAAAAAGACCATTTTCTTTATATATATATATATATAGATAAGCATGTGGGACACACTCTCTGTTAGTTTTGATGGAAAATATAACTGCAACATTTTAATTCAAAACCATATGGGATGTATGTGACTATTTTAAAAAGACAATGAGATAAAGTGTTACTGGATCATACCACAAAGAGATAAAATAGATTTTGACCTTTATTTTTTAAGTAATAAAATTAACCCATTTGACCCGTTCCAACCACCAATCTGATTTGACTCACCCTTGATATGATACAACCAGGTAAAGACGTTAAACGAACCAAGTTATTCGAGTTTGACTTGTTAAAATTTCATTCGAGATTAACTTGTTATGTAAATAAGTCAAACTTGAATATGATTTTAAATTCGTTAAATTTTTAAGCAAAACTTAAACAACTTACTACTCGACTTGATAAATGTATATGCACTATAGAAAATAGACTATTAAAGCTCGATTCGTTAAAAACTCGTTTGGAATTAATTAATTATGTAAACAAATTAAACTTGAACATAATTTTAAACTAATTAAATTATCAAATAAAATTTTAACAACCTATTAATTGTCTTGAATTAGCTCAACTTAACTTGTTTTTAACCCCAAGGCTAAAAAAACCTTAGGAATAAGACGAGTTGGGCGAGAGATTACAAACTCACATCGTGACCATCCTAATGGACTATTTAGCGGTATTATGAGTATTAAGTGCTCGTTTGGCTAAAATTTTGGAACTAAAAAAATATAAAAAGATAAAATAAATTATATAAGTTAATAAAATAAAATATCATTTTTTACTCATAATTATTACATTTTTTATCTTACAAAAGTTAAAAAAGTCTCAAAACAAAAATCAAACGAGGCTAAAAAAGTTAGCTATATTAGCCAATGCCAAACAACCCTAAAGGCCTCTTTCTTACAAAGTTAACAAAAATTGGAATTAGAAAAAAAATAAAAATAATATTCCTTCTGTCTTAAATATTATTATTTTTATAATGTAATTATTATGCTTAAAAAATATAAATTTTCAAAATTATTCTTTGATTTTTTTTAGAAATATCAATTATCATTATTAATGAATTTAAAAAAAAAGTAGAAATTCGTATTATTTTAATTATTTGACTAATATTTTGATATAATAAAAATTAAAATAAAAAACTAAGGGTGTGTTTAGTTTGTGTTTTGAGATAATTTTTTTTAAAAAAAAAAAATCGGGGAAAGAGTTTAGAAATCTTTTTTAGTTTGTTTAGTTGTATATTTTGAAAATAGTTTTGGAGTTTAAAAGTTTGAGATGATTTGATATTTTGTTATAGTTGAGTAGATATGTGTGAGAGAAAAAGTGATTACGAAAGAAAGAGGAGAGAGAAAAAATAATTGATTAATGTGAAGAGAAAATGACTTTGAATTTAAAAAAAAACAATTTAAACTAAATAAAATTTTTAAAAATTTTCTCAAAAATTATATTTTGAGATACAAACAAGACACTCCACTATTTTATAATTAATTTTTTTATAAGAGAGAAAAGTAAATTATAATTTAAAAAGTGAATTATAATTATAACCCACTTCCAAAACACTCCATAATATTTTAAGACGATGAGTGTTAAAAATAAAAAATTGAAAATTGCGAATATGTACACTGCCGACCCATATATATAACCAGGCAAGGCTCCACTTGCTTCTCTGCGCCTAGCCCAATAGTTTGCTACATTTTTGTTTTTTTTTTTTGGTTTAATTTTCTTTCCCCCCTTATAATAATCAATAATTTTGATTCATCAATTTAGAGATTTTGATTTGATAGGGTTAGAAGGCGAGCATTCAATCGGAAATCAGAGCAATCAAAGCTCTGAATTAGGGTTTCCCACCTGCGTTGATTGCCGCCCTTTCATCTTTTTACATATAAACACATATATAGTCGATATATATCAGTAATGTCTGTAAATTTCTTTCTTCATTGTTGATCAATCACAAGTTTTGATTCTCTCTCTCTCTCTCTCAAGAAATTCATCTAGTTAATTCTCAGCGTTGTGATCTTTTCGTGGGTACATAGTAAAGGGTTTGATTGTGAAATTTGATCAAGATATCGATCTAGGGTTTTGAGTATTTGAATATTGTGAGGGCGATGGATAAGAAGAAGGTTGCAGCTCCGCTCGTATGCCATGGGCATTCTCGTCCTGTGGTAGATTTGTTCTACAGCCCAATTACACCAGATGGGTTTTTCCTCATCAGTGCCAGCAAGGGTAACTGTTGAATTTCTCTATCCATCTTTTTGTTTTTTGTTCTTACTTTGCGATTACATATTTGTGTAGAAAATTTTCATTTCAACGGTTAGAAATTGGTATATATTCTGATTATATCAATGCCGATGAATTGTTTTCCCCTTTTTGTTTGGTTTTTGTCAGGAGAGAAAAGAAAAGAAAAGAAAAAAAAATGATTACATAAGTTAGGAGAGAAAAGATTGGTTAACTTATAAAAAAAAAAAGAAAAGAAGAAATGAAATGATACCATGGTATATTACCAAACTAACTTCTTTTCTTTTTTTTTTCTTTTTTTTTTTTTTCTGATATGTACCAAATTAACTTTTTGTTATTTTATTTTTTATAGGCGTTTGTCTTTTAATTTATTTTATATCTAAAAGGGTAGTTTTGGTATTATGATGAAATGGTATTTAGTTAGTTTATTTTCTCTCCCAATCTCTCCACCTTTGATGATATTAGATAAATGAGTTTCTGCCCATTTCGTTCCATTTCATTCTATATCTCTCATATGAGCTTATCCAAACAAGTGATATAGATCAAGAGAAATGTATATCTTTTCTTTTTTTCCCAGATCACCCAATCCAAATGGGTTGTTAAATTCAAGTTAGAAATTGATCGAAGAGTGTGGAAGATAGCATTGTTTGTTGGTATGGGCCACTGTCCACTCTTTAGTGTAGAGAAAATTGATTTAAGGGTTTGTAATTTGATCTGAATTAAGTTAATTATATACATATTTATGCATATTTGGAGAGCACCTGAACGCATTGCTACTTAGTACTTATTTGAGAGCTGAATTTATGGTTGCACTTATCGTCACTTTTAAATATAAACCAAAAGAGGCATAAAGCAGGATATTATTATTATTATTATTATATTGGTGATTTATAAGTTATAGAATACTTTGATTCTACTAAAATCACAATTTGAGGATAAAAATTTAGGGATGCACATTCATGTGTGAAAAATGTGATAGATAGTTGATGATGAGGTGATTTGCATGTGCTATGCAAATTCAGTAACTCAAGAACAATTTGTAGGCAAGGTTGTCGAAATTAGGATCCTACATGGGATTGTTGTGTGGGTCTCGTGATCAGATCATAGTATTAGATCGAGGATCATGAGATTCTACTTTTAGTACAAAATGAAGTGAAAAATTAACACTAATGATAATTCATGTTAAATATTTTAATTATTAAAGAAACTATAAATTTGATATAATGCATTTTATATACTAACATAAATTATTACATAGTATTTAATAATAAAATTTATTAATGACAATTGATAGAATGTTCACTAGTATTGATTTTAGTTGGGAATCAAGTTTTCAATTCTTCCTTTAACCAATTTTATTCCAATAATAAATTGAATTTGCTAACTTTGATGCTAGAGAGCAACTAAAATTTTAAATCTCCATTTAAACATTTTAAACATATGATAAAATTGTCAATCTTATGGAATAACCCATAATTATGGTTTGTATTTTTTGCATTTTTGGTGGTTAATGTGATGTTCATAATGTCAAAATATTTGTTTGATTAATTAACTATTGTACATTAATTCCCCTTGTCTAAAGGGGACAGGATTACTATAAGTTGAACTTTTTGTGTGCATAATGGAACTTGGTATACCGAATTACCAATAATCACAGTTAGTCTTTAACACATTCTGTAATTCTTTTGTTAGTCTTTAATTTTGCCTTTTTTGGTGGCTTCACTTGAATACTGACTACCATGTTCATATATTTGTACCAAAGAAAAAACTACCATATTTATACATGCAGTCCTGTTCCTTCGCATTATTGTTATTTATTATCACAACTCTCTACCTCTCTTGTTTGTTTGCTCCTTTATCTTTTTGTGATGAATGTATCAATCACTCACAATTGGTGAAATAAGTTGTTTTATGTATCCAAAAGCCATTTTTCCCCAGATTGTCTAAGTTATATAACCTTATCTGTAACTCGTATATTTTGTATGAGGTAATGTACAAAACAATTATGTTCTTTATAATGTTGAATGTATGTAATTTTGTGCAATAAAGTATTTTCTGTTTATTTTCTTCATGTTCATTGTTGTGTATTATTTAGATTCCACTCCTATGCTAAGAAATGGAGAGACTGGTGATTGGATTGGAACCTTTGAAGGACATAAAGGTGCAGTATGGAGTTGCTGCCTTGATACTAATGCTCTACGGGCTGCATCTGGATCTGCTGATTTTACTGCGTATGTGATCAAGACTTGTCGTCTTGTAGATATATTTAATGTAAAAGAGTTTGATTATTTATTAATGTCTTTTTATGTCTACAACAAGTGCTGTAAGTTTTGTTCGTTGCAATTGTACAACTGTATATGCTTATGATTATTACCGTTCATAACTGTTGGTTTACAATTACAAAGTACTAACATCAAAGTTTCCATTAGAAGTGTGGTCCAAAGCTTCCATTCTTCTAGACACCGTGATTGCTTGTATTCACCTTTTTGTATTTGGTTTTATAGTTCATGTTTGTTTGCAGGAAATTATGGGATGCATTGACCGGGGATGAATTGCAATCTTTTGAACACAAACACATTGTTCGGGCTTGTTCCTTTTCAGAGGTATTTTTTTATTTTTCTTTTATATTTGTATTTTTTGCACCTTTATCTTTATACATTTGGGTGGTTTTGTTTTATGCTTTCATGATAATAGTATTTTGTTTGCAAGTCCTCAAATCCCAAATGAGACCTTATTTGACATGTACAATACCCCTTATCTCCCCTATATGCAATAATCAAACATGGCCTAATTGGCTTATAGTTTTTATTTTGATCTTCCTTTTAAAGTTGTTCTAGTGAGTATAACCAGTCTTGTATTTTTGTTTATTTTTACTCTTTCTGTAAGAATGTTCTTTTGGTTGGTCACTACTGCTTTCTTGTTCTTATGGATGGTCACAACTGCCTTCATGGTCACTTTTACTTTTTTCTCGGCTTCATGGTCATTTATCTTCTTGTTTCTTTTACACTCTTTGGATCTTTGATTGGTAAAGGGAATAGAAAATTGAGATGGAAATGAGTTAGTTAAAGTTTTTGTATTCATACTTCTTTTTTCTTTTTGGTTCTTTTTTTCTGTGGTAACCAACTAAAAACAATGGATTTTTTGATAATTATTTCTTCTCTTTTTTCTTACCCAACCAAAAGATAGCTTATTTCACTTATTTTCTTTCCCAATATTTTCCCTATTTATTTTCCTTTCCCTGTACAAATCCAATATCCAAACATAGCATTAAGGTTTCAAACTTGTGTAACATAACTTGTTATTGTCAATGCTTTATAATGACATGATTGGTTCACCTTTCCGACTTTGTTATAAAAATATCTGAATTCAATTTGTGTTGGGTGTGAATTACTAATATTCTACATATAAGAGGATAGGGGATATTATTTTAGGCCTATTTCTTTCAAGATTATTAGATTTAGTTTGAATTAAAGTTTTTCAATTATCATGCAGGATACACACCTCCTACTCACTGGTGGTGTTGAAAAAATACTCCGTATCTTTGATTTAAATCGACCAGATGCACCTCCAAGAGAAGTTGACAACTCTCCTGGTTCAGTAAGAACTGTTGCGTGGCTCCACAGTGACCAGACTATATTAAGTTCGTGTTCTGATATTGGGGGTGTGAGGTACGCACAGAATAGTTAACTATCACTGTGTTTTTTTTGCTGTTTTTTTCTCTTTCCATTTTCTCTGCAATCAAAGTTGACTTTTCCTTATTGATTGGTTGGAATGTATGCACTGATATTTGTTGATTGAATATGAATTATAAAAATATTATGCATAACAAGTTTGAATATTTGACATTTGCCTATGTGGCTTCAGGTGAATGCTAACCACTCAGAACATTATAACTGCTGGAGTTGATATAATGCCCTTATCTCATGAGTCATGAGATACTTGACGCCTAGAGAGGCTAGAATAGATGGTGAAATGACCTTGTTTTCCTAAGATTTTGCACCCTTAGAAATAAGGATTTATAATAACATTTTAGAACTACGCTATTGTGTCTATGTGTGTCATTTTGTTGAATTGATTGTGTGCTATTACTAATATTTGTTGATTAGCTAGCGTTATTCGTGTCAACTGTAATTCTCATATCACATTCCATAACATATTTGATCTCTCTTTTTTCATGACTCCCTTGCTTTTATTGAATGTTATCTGTGGTGACTTATTTACATCACCATCGGACATCATATCCTGAATATGTCCTCCTTTCTCCATGAGTCATGAGATACTTGACACCTAGAAAGGCTAGAATAGATGGTGAAATGACCTTGTCTTTCTAAGATTTTGCACCCTTAGAAATAAGGATTTACAATGACATGATATTAGAACTATGCTATTGTGTTTCTACGTGTGTCATTTTGTTGAATTGATTGTGGAACCCCCTGCTATTACTAATATTTGTCGATTAGCTAAGTTATTCATGTGAATTTTAATTCTCATATCGCATTTTATAACATATTTGATCTCTCTTTTTCATGACTCCATTGCTTTTATTTAATGTTTTCTGTGGTGACATTTTTACATCATCATTGGACATCATATCCTCATGGTGTATCCTGCTTTTTCCATTTGCCGCTTCAGAAACTATTGGAAATTTCACTCCCCACCTCCCCTCCACCACCCAACAAAAAAATAGTAAGGAGAGAGAGTTCGGTTTAGAGTCCATGTTTTTTTGGCAAAGTAAAATCCATTTCTCATATATCCCCAAAGGAAACAATGTAATTTGAAATAAATTGTCAAGCGGCATGGACCAGCCTCTCCCTGAAACTTGGGTTTGGAGAGATCAGCTACGCCCAATTATCTGTGTACCACTACCACATCTATGCCTATTTGTTTGATTGAGTGGGTCACTAAGATAAGAGTGTCCTCTCACAACCTTTTCAAGAGGTTCTAAATAGATCGTTGCAAAGCCTGCACTTGATTTGCAGCAACTTTTGTAGTACTTGCAAAGTGCATGTAACCTGTTCAGAAACATACATCAGTTCCAGTGTACAGAAATGTGTTTTTGTTTCTTAATTTTATTTTAAACTTTAAACTTGTTCTTGTTTTGATATTAACCATTTTTGATTTCCATCTTTTCTTGAGTTTGAATCTTAAACGAATGAATATGTAGTAATTTATTTGTTATTCAGCATGTTCTGTTCGTTTACTATCCTGATAAATAGCGCTATTCTATAGGTTATGGGATGTGAGAAGTGGCAAGATTGTCCAAACTCTTGAGACCAAGTCCCCTGTAACCAGTGCTGAAGTGAGTCAGGATGGCCGCTACATAACTACTGCAGATGGGTCTACAGTTAAATTTTGGGATGCAAATCAGTAAGTATCAAGTTATATTCTTTGCTTATCCTGGAAAAGAATGTGCATGAATATATTTCATGATATTTTCAATTGTTGATTTTTCAGTTTTGGATTGGTGAAGAGCTACAACATGCCTTGCAATATCGAATCAGCTTCTTTGGAGCCAAAGCTTGGTAATAAGTTCATTGCTGGAGGAGAAGACTTGTGGATACATGTTTTTGACTTCAACACTGGAGAAGAGATCGGTAAGTATCCTTGAACTAATATAGGACCACAATAATGAAGAAACTGTTTTTGTTAGAACAGTATCCGGGCTGGGGATTTAGTTTTGTTCTTGGCTGTTTGGTTGAGTTTTCAGAACTTGAAGACAAGAAAAGAAAAGAAAGAAATTTAGAGAAAATCATATGAAAACATTGAGGTAGCGTTTGGTAGAGTTTTTTAAATATGATTTGAGAATAGAGTTGTATTTTGAGTTTGTGAGTTTTGGAATTATGATTTGAGTGTGGAAAATTTGTTTGGTGAATGAGTTTTGAAAAAAGTTTTGAATTGAGTGGGAAATTTTTGATGTGACATGATATTTGATACAAAAATTTACAACTCATAACCAAACATACAACTCAAAATTCCATTCAAAGCTTAAAATTTTTTTTAAAAATTCTGAAATTTTTTTATTTAAAATATAAAAAATAAAAGGTGCCAAATGTTAAAAAAAAAAAAAAAATAGCTTTTTAAAACTCATAAATTTTTTTAAAAAATTCCAAAATTTTTATTTAAAATATAAAAAAACAGGTGTCAATTGTTAAAAAAAAAAAAAAAATAGCACTGTTTCGGTCAACCGACTGGACGTCCGAAGATGACCGGTTTGTCTAAATTTTCCCGCCTTGGAAAGAGTTTTCAAAAGTGGCTTTGGAATTAATTTTTGAAAATTCTAAACAAATAAGACACTCAAAACAAGGGGTGGAAATGTGTTTGGGAAACTTTTTGACTTTTTGGATTTTTCAAGGGTTGCCAAACCAGTCGTAAATAATGAAGAAACTGTTTTGTTAGAACAGTATCCGGGCTGGGGATTTAGTTTTGTTCTTGGCTGTTTGGTTGAGTTTTCAGAACTTGAAGACAAGAAAAGAAAAGAAAAGAAAAGAAAGAAATTTAGAGAAAATCATATGAAAACATTGAGGTAGCGTTTGGTAGAGTTTTCTAAATATGATTTGAGAATAGAGTTGTATTTTGAGTTTGTGAGTTTTAGAATTATGATTTGGGTGTGGAAAATTTGTTTGGTGAATGAGTTTTGAAAAAAGTTTTGAATTGAGTGAGAAATTTTTGATGTGACATATGATATTTGATACAAAAATTTACAACTCATAACCAAACATACAACTCAAAATTCTATTCAAAGCTTAAAAAAAAATTAAAAAATTCTGAAATTTTTTTATTTAAAATATAAAAAATAACAGGTGTCAATTGTTAAAAAAAATAAAAATAAAATAACACTGTTCCGGTCAACCGGCTGGACATCCTAGGATGACCGGTTTGTCCAAATTTTCCCGTCTTGGAAAGAGTTGTCAAAAGTGGCTTTGGAATTAATTTTTGAAAATTCTAAACAAATAAGACACTCAAAACAAGGGGTGAAAATGTGTTTGGAGAGCTCCCCCCAATCCATTTTTCTCAACTTGTTTTGCCAAACTAGTTTTTGAATTTTTTTTTTTCAAAAAACATATTCTAAAAAACTCGACCAAACAGATATACCAGTGGATTTGGGATTAATGCACAAACTAACACCTTGATTCAAATATTGGATAAATCACATATTGTTTGGTGTCACACACGTAGGTTGTGTTTGGTTGAGGGATTTGATGAGAGATTTGAAAAGGGAAAGGGAAGGGGAAAGGAAAAAGGTGTGTGAAACTAGGTGAAATTTAGATATATTTTATTCACATTTCACTTACATTTTTCTTTTCCTATTCCAAATCCCTCCAATCAAACACAGCCTTAGACAAATTTAGAGAACCTACCAGAAAGCATGTGAAGATGAAGCTTGAGAAGCCTGTCCCTTCCGCACCTTGTTAGTTATGCTTATTGCTGATTTTTATGCCTTTGGCTAGACATTTTTAGGGCTGCAAATGAACCGAGTTGTTCGTGAGCTCGGTTCGGTTCGGTTCAGTAAGGGCTCAACTCGGCCCAGTTCGTTATGCAAACAAACTAGCCTGAGCCAGATTTTTAAGGCTCCTTTAATAAACAAGCTCGAGCTCAATGCTAGAACAAGTTCGGCTGGTTTATTATTCATTTAAATTGTAGGATAAATATATTATTTGATATATGTGTTGTAGATGTATATTTTACATAGAAAAATGTTTAACGAGCTAGCCAAGATTATCGGGCCAAACTTCATTATCGAGCTTCGAGTCAAGCTCGAGTCTTGCAAAGGTTGGCTTAGCTCGAGCTGTCATAGAAAAGAAACCCTTACTTTTTTATCTGTAACTGTGCAGAGTTTACTTGGTGATGATTCTCTACTCTATCTCTAAATCTTCGTCAGTTATTTGAGCTTGACAATTACATTGTTACAGGCTGCAATAAAGGTCACCATGGTCCAGTCCACTGCGTGCGGTTCTCGCCCGGAGGGGAATCCTACGCCTCGGGATCAGAAGATGGAACTATCAGAATATGGCAGACGGGCCCTTTGAATCATAACGAGAATGATGCATCTGCGAATGGTCCGACTGAGAAATTGAAGGCTGCGGCTGATGAGGTTGCCGGAAAGATAGAGGGCTTTCATATTGCCAGAGAAGGGAAAGAAAAGGCAGCAGATGCCTGACTGTGAACTTTAGATATGGTTTTTTTAGTTCTTACCTTTCTGAGCACGTTGATGTGATCTTCTTGGGAATTTCTTCTTTTGGTTAAATATCTGCTAGTCCTCTCTTTTTTCTTTTTCTTTTTTAAATTAATTTTTATTTTTATTTTTATTTTTATTTTTCTAGCGTGGAGCTTTTACTATGTTTTTGGTAATCCTTAATGTTTTTTGGGACCATTTCTCGTCATAGATAATATGCAGAATTTTAGAGGATTATATGGAGATTGTATGTGTTTTACATTCTTTTTAAATATCTTAGTATGTGCCTCAAGTATAGACGTTAAGAAGATCATATTTTTATAAAACCAAGGGTCCCTCAACAATATTTTCATAATGTCTAAGGTCCCTCAACAATATTTTCATAATATCTAAGGTCCTTCAACCTTGATCCAGAGAAATTTCAGTCCAGAGAAAATTGGTCCAGAGAAATTTCAGTGCAGAGAAAATTGGTCACAGAAATTCTGGTCCAGAGAAATTTCTCTGGATGAGTTTCTCTACTTTTCTTCTCATTCACATCCAAATCATTGTGATTCATTAGGTAAGCAACATTGCTCAACTGAATTCAATTGAAAAAATTTCACATTGTAATATGTAAGCAACATTAGAATGGGATAACAATGGCAACTTACCAGAACCAGAGAAATTTTTGAAAAATCTGAGTATTTCTCTAGTTTGTTATTGAAATATCAATTGAGAATTTCTTTGGTTTATTAAAAATAACAATTGAGAATTTCTCTGGTTTATTAAAAATAACAATTGAGAATTTCTCTGGTTTGTAATATTTTTTGAAAAATTTCTGCAACTTACCTAAATCTGTTCTTCACTTTTTTCCAGTTGAATTTTTCAATCGAAAGTGTTTCTCTGTTGAACAATGTTCAATTGAATTCAACTGGAAAAATTTCACATTGTAATATGTAAGCAACATTAGAAAGGATAACAATGGTAACTTACCAGAACCAGAGAAATTTTGGAAAAATCTGAGAATTTCTCTGGTTTGTTATTGAAATATCAATTGAGAATTTCTCTGGTTTATTAAAAATAACAATTGAGAATTTCTCTGATTTGTAATATCTGGAAAAATTTTTGCAATTTACCCAAATCTATTCTTCGCTTTTTTCCAGTTGAACTTTTCAATCGAAAGTGTTTCTCTGTTGAACAATGTTCAACTGAATTCAACTGGAAAATTCCACGTTGTAATATGTAAGCAACATTAGAAGGGATAACAATGGCAACTTACCAGAACCAGAGAAATTTTGGAAAAATCTGAGAATTTCTCTAGTTTGTTATTGAAATATCAATTGAGAATTTCTCTAGTTTATTAAAAATAACAATTGAGAATTTCTCTGGTTTATTAAAAATAACAATTGAGAATTTCTCCGGTTTGAGAATTCACCAGATTGGTTCCTTTTATTTACAAAAACATTCAGTGAAGACCAATCAAACATTAGCCAAAAAAACAAATTAATTTGAACAACCCATTTCTCAACTTATATAATTAAAAAACAAATTACTCAAGCTCGACTCATTATCTTCTCCATTAAAGTTAATTTGACATCTCTAAAAAAACAAATTGCTTGAGCAATCAGCTCGATTAAAGCTCATTTGACATCAACTCAAAAGATAAACAGGCACATTTTACAGTTCATTCAATATTCAAGTCAATTTTAAACAAGCTAATGCTCAGACACCACACCTAGGAGCTAGGGAAAGTAAAGAACCCAAAACCAAAACATGAAAAATGTAAATGGGCATGTGAAAAATAATCAAAAAAACAAAATACAACACAAATAAAAAAAGGAAAAAGATTGAAGCTGAACCTGTGAAAGACTTTTCTGTGAAGGGTTTTTCTGGAGGAAGTCCAAAAGGAGCGAGAAGACACAGTCGAACTTGAAACCCAGAAAAGAGGAGGGAAAAAGCAGGAGAAGGGTTTAAAGTGGGTGGTTTGAGTAGAAACCCCCATAGCCATGCTTGGGTTACGAATATAAGTAGCCGTTTTGATAAGGGGGTTTTGCTAGGGTTTATTGTTTTTTTTGTCTGAAACTGGTGGCTCTGAGCCCCTCTGAATGTGAAGCAAAAACAGAGAACCCATGTAGAGAGAGAAAGTGAGTAGAAAGAGAGAGGGAATGGGGTGAGGGACCTTAGACTACAAAAGAACAGATTGTGGACCTAATCCATTACTAAAAGTTGGATAAGGACCTTAGACCGATTTTCCCTTTTACATTCTTTTTAAATATCTTAGTATGTGCCTCAAGTATAGACGTTAAGAAGATCATATTTTTATAAAACCAAGGGATGGCAATGGGTTGGGGGTTTTCCGGTTTTACGTTTGAATTCTTGATTTTAAATTCAATTATTTTGTTGATAAAATTTTATACTTTACTCTAATTTTGGTAGTTTTGACTTTCATAGCTTTATAATTTACCATACCCAATTAATGTTATCCTAATTTTTTTTAAAAATTAAAATTGGGTCGGGATAAATAATATATTTGGGTCGAGTAATTTTGTCATCCTATTGGAGAGTATGTTTATCTTCTTCTTATTTTTTAGATTGAGACTGTGTAGTTCATGTATTTGAATGGAAATTTAGAAAAAGAATTTGAATGGAAATTTAGAAGGAAAAAAGAAAAAGAAAAAAAGAAGAGAAGTAATTGAAATGTAAATGAAATATAATTATATTTTAGATTTTTTTTTGTTGTAAATTTTTATTTAAATTTATAATTCAAATACAACATAACAGGTTATGCATTTGAAACTATCAATCTGTCTATTAAAATCATGTGTTGGTAACTGAATATTTGAGAGTTTTTTTATGTTACATTTTCAGCATCTCCTTACTTTTTTGGGTTGTCTTATTTATTTATTTATTTTTTTTTGAAATTTAAAAAATGTGTTACTCATGTCATACTTGTAAAGAATTTGGTATGCTTTTTTTTTCTTTCTTTCTTTCTTTCTTTTTTTTTTTTTTTTGTGTTCTCTTTTTCAATAAAAAAAATTTCTTCCTTTGAGTGAGGGGAGGATCTCTGGAGATAATTTACCGGAGTGTATTTAAATGCACAGGTTCTTCTATTTATAATTTCATTTTTTACATTCACTTAAAAATTTTATTATGCTATTTTTTGTTTGGTGCTTCGGAAAAATTATATCAAACTTATGAATCATGTAGTAAAATTTTGAGATAGTAATTGAAGAAAGATTAAAACATAAAACAATGATTTAAAAAAAAATAAAAAGCAAATTTAGTTTTATGCCAAAAAAATTTCGTGCGAAATGGTATTTATATATATAAACAAGGACACTTACAATCTTTTTAAACATACTTAACATTTACATCATGTTAATAAAATTCATTAAAATAACATGTCATAATTTTTGGTACTAAACAAAATAATAGTCTTGTTAGTAATTGATTCAATAAATTAGTTTTTTTTTTTTGGTAGCAATTTCTCGTCTATAGCAAAGTTGCGAAATTTTTTCTAGGGTACTTTTTGAATGGAAAAATTCACTTCTACCTTAAACTATCACTTGTATCACTTTTCCAAATTATTAATTTGAACAATTATCACTTAAACTATTAACTCAAAAAAGTTAATATATTTGTATGAATATTACACCTGTCAACATATAAAAATATTTATGCACATTATTTGTTTAATTTGATCATACCCAAAGACAATAATTTATTATAATTGATTATATTTTATGTTTTATTAAATATTTTTGTGTTACATATTATGTAATAGAAATACTTTTCCAAAATAAATAAATACATTCAATTAAACACGTGGCTACCAATAGTTTAGTACTATCCATTGAAAAATATCAGCTTTAATTAAGATAAAAATAAACTTGACATCAATAATTTAAAAGATATTTATTTGAATTAATTTAAGACAAATAAAGTAAAGCAAAAAATACAAAAAAAAAAAAACAGAGAGAGAGAGAAAAAAGCTTAGGTAGCGTTCGGTAACATTTACGTTTTTTTGTTTATATTTACAATAGTTTTATAAATTAGTTTTTGTTTATTTTTAGAAAAACATAAACTACAAACGAGTTTGGTTTGAACAAAATGTTTAAAAAAATTTAAAAACATAAACTAAAAAATATGGTTATTCAAGCCTAAAAAATTTATATTTATTTTTTATTATTTATGACAATGGGCCGATACACATTATTATAATTGAACAAAAAATTAAAAAAAATTAATTAAAAAAATAATTGAATAAAAATTATTGAAAAAAATTAATTGAAAAAAAAAATTTGTTAGTCAAAATTTTAAATTTCTATTTAAAAACCAACGTAAACTCATTTTTTGAGTTTACGTTTTTTTCTCAAATTTACAAACTAAGACAACTATTTATAAATTAAAAAAATTATCAAACAAATTTTCGTGATTATTTTTTAATTTTTTGTAAATATAAACTGAAGACGAAATGGTTGTTTGGTAACGTTTATGTTTTCAGTTTATATTTACAAAAATTTTATTTTTTAAATTTTTGTAAATATAAACAGAAAACTGAAAACGTAAGTGTTACCAAACGGCACATCAAACATGTCGAGAGTTCAACCATTATTATAAAATAAACCATGAATTTTAAATTTTATCAATTTAAATTTAAAATTTAAAATTTATTTTCAATCTAAATCATTAATTTATTTTCGTTAAGTAAAATCGATAAAAAAATATTAATCATTTGGCTCTTGAGTTCTTTTTTAGATGGAAAAATGATAATTTCTTTCGTTTTCCCATCTTAAAAAAAAAAAAATAAATAAATAAAAGAAGAAGAAGAAGAAGTTGTTTAGGAATTGATTTTTTTAGTTTTTAATGAAAAAAATATGTAAAAAAATAGAGAGAATTAATTAAATTTTTGTAATATATATATTTTTATTTTTTTGGTTGGTTACCAAAAATAAGTCAAGGTAAGTATATATAAAATGTTTAAAATATATTTTTTCGTTGAATTTAATGATTAAAGTATCATTTTTTTTAATTAATTCGCAGCTTGCTTAAATGGAAAATAAAATAAAATATTATGATTTAATTTGATAAAATTAAAAATTAAAAATTAAAAAATTATTTTATTAAAGTTGAATATTTAAAGAATCACACCTCAGCGGCATGAAGCCTTTGTTTGGGAAGTTGAGATTGGGGCTTTTTTTGACTAAAATAGCCATAAAAAAATAAAATAAGCTTTTAGGCCCAATAAAATAAAATATCAAATT